GAGTGAAAATAGGTAAAAGACAATACATGGCGTCTATGCGAACTTGCATGTGTTCAAAATTTCTACTAAAAAATTATTATAAAAACACAGCAAAGACGGATCTCTATGAAAGTTGCTACGGCTGTAGAGGAACATCTGACCTACAAGATAAAATTATAGCCACTGGCTTCTGATCATTGAACTGTGAGAAAAAGTGTTCGAATATCGATGGTGTGTGATAGTAGGTTGCTGACTCTATAGAGTTTGTCCTGGTACTTTACCTAGCTCTATGTGTTAAATGTGTGGACATGTCAAGTAATTTGTTGACAAGTTGCCTTCTGTGGTGGAGGAAACATGATGCATATTTTAGTGAACAGCTCTCCTTGTACACTTTTGCCTGGACACTCATGAGAGAAATATACTTTTAGTTTTAAATACAAAAACTTAATCATTAATAATCAATGGTCAAGGCTGTAATTCTCTTACACAAACTCATGGTCTTCTCTGCTAATTGTTGTATAGTGACTTTGAAAACTTATAGTATTAATTAAAATTGAAGACTCTGTGCCAATCAAGGCTTGGCAATGGTCTTAATGGAGATTGTTTTATTAGATATTGAAGTATAGGCCTTTTTTGCCACTGTGTACTGTTATTACTGTTAGCTGAATAAGCAATAAGCTGGTTTTATTGCTTTAACATGACATAAATTTGAAGACATCTACTTGATCTCATTAAGTGGAAGATAATGCTTAGCACTACAAAATATTGTTACAATACTACATGTGTGTGTGCATATAGTATGTGATTGTACAGTCAATTGGACTTATTTAGTAAGGTCCAAGTATCAAACACTGTTTGATAGCAATGTATCAATATCTGTCACAACTTGAGCAAATGTTGGTCTTCTCATTAGGATCCCTCTCCCAACACTTTAGCATTGTCTTCTGATATCTATAAGCATGATGATTATACTAATAATTCAACTCATAATTAATGTATTCCTTACATATCATCATTGCATACTGAATTTGACGGTGTTTCAAGTCTGTATCCATCAGATATTATAGTCTTAACACATGTTGGTGAAAACCCACCATAAGATGTCTTCCCTCCATTAAACACTTCCCATACTTTTAGTATTGTATAATTATAACTACACTGACCTTACCTCTAAACTTCTAGGCCATTGTTCATTGAGAAGATGAGCTGCTGGTTCAAGGAGATCAGGTCTAAACTGAAGCTCTAGTACTTCATAGCTGTCGACATCAGCTAACCATATAGGAATAGCCACACCTATTTAGTCTCTCTAGAGACTCTGGGAGAGGCATTTTATAACTATGGTTTATTATAGTCGCGCCACCGTGAGAATTTATCACAAAAATTGTATAAATAGATCTAATAATCATATATCTAGATAGTTATGGATTTTAAAGTCAAACTACCTCTGTATTTTGTTTCCACTCTTTGTATACAAAAAACTGTAAATATAGTGATTAAAGTCTATTGTAATATCACTTTGATGTAAACTAACATTTCTAGCGGCTTCAAATCTTTCAGTGCTTGTCTTAGCTTCCTAAAAGGTAAAGAGTGACACAAATTAAAATCATAATTCAATATATAGACCTAAGTCTACTTTTATCAAGACTTTTACCTGATATTCATTTCTATGCTTTTTAAGCAGTTCATACTCAGTGGTACCTCTAGATCTAGACCCAATTTCTCCAAGATGTAGAATTAATTTATTATCTTTTTTTCTCTCAATACATGCCTCCCAAAAATCATCAAACCAATTTTTACGATCAGGCAAGGTAATATACTTGGGATTCTTGTGCGTCTCCCTGTTATCACCAGTTAGTACAACAGGAATGTTGCATACAATTTTTGGTGTTACTTTAAGTTCTTCCACTAAAAAACTTTGAAGCTCTTTTTTCCATAATTCCAACCGTCTTGTAAATCTTCTTTTTTCTAATTCTTTCCATCCCTCCTCATCATCTTCATCTGGTTCTTCCTCGTCAGCATCTCTGTCATCTTTTCTTGCAGCATTTTCAAGGTTAGCAAAAGTGAGGACAAACACAGAATAGTTCCAAAAACTTTCTCCAAAAGCTTTTGTTAGCTTAACCATAGCATTCTTGTCATCATCAGTTAGTCAAGTATTAAAACTATCATCTTAGTGCAGTAGAGGACTAAACTAAGCTCTTGGCATGTTTCTCTCATTCCTTGTATGTACTCCTCTTCATTTGCTGTATGATCTTGTAAGCCAGGAAAATCAAAGACTTTGATTGGCACACCTTTGATGATTTCTGAATACATTTCAACTTGTGTTGTACATCTTTTTGCACCAGCTCCTTCACTAGCAACATGAGCACCAAGAATGCCATTAATGAGTGAAGATTTTCCTTGACCTGTCTTCCCACTAACAAGTATCCTTAATTCTCTATGATGGGCCCAGGCTTTCCTTAGTAATGATTCAAGAGCTTTGCTTGCATCTCTTTCCAAATCAAGCAAATATTGAGATGTATTAACAATGGCTTTTCCAAAAGCACCAGCTGTCCTTTTGACCCTGCAGTTTTAAAAATTATACAGAATCAATAGATATAGTATTGTCTATGATTAATTTATATAAATGCAAAATTACCATCCAGCAGATTTCTTAGCCTCAGATTGTTTTTAGTCTGCCATGACTCTAAACCACAAAATTTGTTTCAATATGCTTATAACCTTGGATTGTTTTTATAAAGTGCAAACCCATTAATTAGATTAACAAGTTAATGTGTAAATTTTTAGAATCGCTTGTCTTTCGGATATGATTATATTTAAAATGCCTCACACTGATACATCAAAGGCCCGCATATCTCTATACATAAAACATTGCAAATGTCATTCAAAACACAAATTAAGTTAGTCTAAGACTGTAATAATTTTTGTTATTATAATACTGATTTAGTGTTTAAATCAAGCTGATGATTAAGTCTACAATCAATTCATCTAAATGTATATGGCATAGCCAAAGTCTGGGAATTTTAGTGACATGCATGTAGGTGCATACATAAACATTGGCCAAAATACTAGCTACAAATACAAACTCCAATCAAAAATTGTACTAGATACATACAACCAGCTACTGATGCACTGTATATGTAAATAGCATGTTGTGTTTGCTTATAGTATAAAGTGCATATAGTGCTCTATGTCAGTGCTTCATAATTATTTCAAAATATTATTTTTAACAATTTTTTTACAAAAAATTAACAATTTCACTATAAGCCTAACACACAAAAAATTAGCAGCAAAAATAAGTTCACACAAACAGTTCAATAGCAGCAGCAAAAAAAAAGAAAAATCAGTTACTAATAATTAAGTTCGGCGTGGCATATAACGGGACCTCAGTGGCTCAGTCCGACCTCTCCTAGATCTAAACTGTACTGAATCAGGGCTAGGCCTATTGAACAATGCTTCATTTTCCCTCCTTCTCTGCTGCCCTGCATCCTCATCATCAGCGATACCCCCGTAATAATGGTTAGTCTCAAAACGATCCTCTTCTTCAACGTCGTTCATAAAATTATTAAACGCCTCATCTTCATTTTCATCATCATCAGGGCCAATGTTGCACCTCCTTCTGCATCTAAACACATTTCTTATTATGAAATATATAGAGTATAAAGTGAAGTACACCAGGGGGACAAATATTAGAATGACCTGAGAGTAGAAGGTAATTTTTGATAGTGGGATATTGACAGCTTGCTGATGGCGACTGTAAAGAGAGAGGACATTAACTACAGCAAGGATAGAAAACATTCCCATGTCAAGGAAATTATACTTCATTTCCCTATATGGTTGAAGGGTGCCAACTAGAAGGATTGCCAGTGTACACACGATTTGCTGGTATATGTATTGCTTTGTCCAATCAAAGCCAAGAGCATATGTTCCAATGAGTATAAGCTTTAAGAAGAAATAGAAAGCAGCAAAATAGCGTCTGTCATCTTTGAAACAATGGTGAAAGGAATTGAGGAAATGATAAAATAAATCACCAGGCTCCAACCAACGAAATTTTTTGGTTTTATCAAGAAAAGTATAGCATCGCCGAGTAGAATAGAAAAGCAATATCAGAGGCAACAGGATACACCAAAGGACAGCTACTACAGAAATGAGTAGATAGGGGATGTGATCATGTGATCCATAATCCACATTACCATCAAGATAAGCAACATACTTGGGGTGCTTTGCAGCATCATAGACAAGTGGATTTGGATAAAGAATATAGCATGCAGTAACTGCAAACTTGACATAGGAAAGAATTAAAAAAGTTGCCAATGCATCCATTAATGAGCGATCTATATTAAGATACCTCATGCAGCGAGCAGTGCACCAATGAATTGGTCGAAAAAGGCACACAACAAAACGATAGTTTTTATTATATAACCACACCAAGAATACAATCAGGACTATGATAACTAAAGGATAAGCTGCAGCTATATATTTTAGAGTCATGATTTGTAAAGCACCAAATTTTGGGCTTAAACAGAACAGCCAGCCATCATAATCAATTGCATTTAAAAAATCAAGGTTCCATATACCATAAAGGAAGATATAAGCTTGCTTAATGCCTGGAGCGTGATGGGTAATAGTTTCATAATTAATCTGTCCATCAGCATCAACACTAAATGTGCTTGAGATAATCTGAGAAAAAAAAATGAATGCATTTGCTGGGCCTGAGGTAACTGAAACGTTGAAAATGATAACGACTATCATAAGAAGTGTGATTGGAACATACTCAAACAGCAAGTAAAATATCCAAGTGTAAGAGTAATAATGCTTATGAGAGCCAATGTCAATACATTTGTATTTTAACGAATTAACAGCAGTACAATAATTAGACTTACACTTTGCACAAAGGGTACCATTCCTGTTCAACCCACCACAGAAAAAGGATTCCAATGGTGTCCCATCTTCAGGAAGATGAATGTAATTCTGATGAACTACGCGACTTCCGTTTATAGTGGTAATATTCCATGGACAGAAATAGCACTCACCAACATAATAACGACTATCATCATCATTTATTTTACCAATCCAGTACCCAAACTGTATATCAGCTGAGAAATTGCTATAAATGTTAACAAATGGAAGACTGCCACGTTTGCATGAATCTCCATACTGTTTATTAGAAAAGCCAGGTGGGCAAGAGGTGAAACTAAGATTCACAGTTGTTGCCATTACACGAGGTATTATAGTACCCAAGTGTATAGTCTCATTAACTATAGTTCTATTATAGGGTAGTGCTTCATTAGTGACATACGTTGTGTTACTTTTCATGGTTTCATTGCTAATAGTAGTATACATATACATGTATACTACAGAATCCTGGCTAATTTTATTCTGTCGATCATCTAACATCACGACATCATCCAATTTTGTAGGTTTTCCAGGCACAACAGATATATTGTACCAATCATATTTTCCACACTGTACTGTACCATTTGCTTCATTAAAATAATAAGCAGGTGAAGTAGCAATAAGATTAGTGCTGTTACAGTCACTATCATAGTTCCAGATATCTTTTTCAGTACTATTCCAACTATTCCAACAAAAGACAGTTTGATATTCACTTTTCGTGTCATCGTAAAGCTGACCATATGATCTACCACCCCACAGACATCCAAGGAGTGATGTGGCAAAAATAGCATCACCAGAAAACCCAGCCTTGTTGCCATCAAAATTAAACGTGACATTCCAATCAGTAGGATCTGCACTTGTATCATAATATCGAATAAAACAATTACGTGATGATATCAATTGGTGATCCCCAACACTCTGCCAAGAAATGGCACCACCATGTAAAGTAGCACTGTTATTATGGAAAATGGCATTACAATTGTCTCCAAACAAAAGGAATGCTTTGCTAAATAGTGTCACTGCTCCTCCAGACAAGCCTTCATTATCTTCAAAATAGGTGTCAGAGTTATTTCTGAACTCTATGGTGGCATCTAAAGCAACAAGAGCAGAACCAATGTTGCCAGAAAAGGTATTACTTCCTGTGAACTTGAGAGGCACTGAGTCAGTGTAGACTGCACCAATACCAGTTGGAGTACCATAGTATTTAGTATATTTGATAGTGTTATTGACAAATGTAGACTCTTCAAAATAGGGTGAGGCTACAAGAGAGCCATCGCTAAATCCATTAATGTTCCAAAGTGAGAGATCTATTGCTGAGCCGAGCCTAGCAATGTTCTTATTCCAAGTGCAATTGTAAAAGAAAAGATTGTTGCTATTGGATCTATCTTTGTATGTTGGAAAAGTGAAAAACGAGAGTCCTCCTCCAAAATAAGCATGGTTTTTATAAAACATAACGTTAATAAATCTCACTTTATTCTTAATAACGCGGTCGTGAAACGATGCAAATTGGACTCTAACTCCACCACCTCCAGTTCCAGCATAATTACAAGAATTGAAAAAGCCCTTGTTCTGAGAAAAATGACAGTCTGTAATGTTCACTTCATTTTCTTGACTGGTGTCCTGAAACTCAATCAGCATAGCTCCACCCCAAACAGCCTTGTTATGGGAAAAAGTACAACTATCCACAACGATCCTAGAGTTCGTAATATTACCTTTGTGTAGGAGAGAGAGTCCAGCACCTCGGCCAAGGGCCACATTAGTATTAGCATGAGGGACAATGAAGGAATCCCCCGTAATACTGCTAGTATTTGCTTCGTTATTAAAAAAACTACATAATCGGAAGGTAAACGAGCCCCCATTTGAAAAAGTCGAGTTAAATGAATTTCCAGATTTGTCGCCGCAACTGGGATCACCAGGAATACAGTATATATATTCCACGGCTACTCCACCTCCTCCAGGCTTGTCATCCACTGGCCTGTTGTAAGTGAAATTAGAATTTAATATGAAATTGTTGCCAATAGTGCTGTAGAACACGACACCAGTCCCAGTACTGCCATTAACCACGACACCATCAAAAGTGATGTCACAACAAAATATAAAGAAGAGGGTTATGTTAGTGTAGAGGTATGAAGTGAAATTTCTTTCAGGTTTAGATCTATCATTACTTGTGGTGACATGTGAAGAACCACAGTGATTAAATGCAATGTCACGAAAAATCAAATTCTGCGAATGATCAAACGACAGACCAGTGTTATTACCTATACACTCGATGTATGCTCTACTCCCATTTAAAGAGGAGGATATCCCGATGTTAGTTCCATCATAAAAGCTGTAGTTGTTTCTTAGCTCGTGAGGTACGTCAGGATTTAGGAGGTAATGGACGGAAGAGATGCTTGAGGAAGTCCCATTTAGGGCATAATCTAAAGTTGCACAAGGCTCCTCGCCACTGAGACAATCTTCAGTGTCATTACCAAACTCGCCATTAACTTCTATCTGTAGTATTTCACCAGCTACATTAAGCACTTGTGCTACTGCCAATGCTAACAGTAATTTAGCCATAGCCTATTGGATGATAAGGATATAAAATAGCATTAATAGAGGACTCAGTCTTACCATAGACAGCAAGATAGATAGTAATGTCTTTATGAGCCCGAAAATTGAGCAATCACCGAATGATAGGAGCTGATGAAACCCTATATGGCCACTCCCCAAAAACCACACTATAATAATCTTTTTGTACAAACAATTAAAATAGTCACATCTTGGTCACATTTTTATATGTATCTATGTGCAAACTGTAAATCAATGCTGCCAAAAGTTTGATCACCGTTAAGTTTTTAAATTTTTCTGTCTTCCGAGACATGCTAGCTGAAATACATTAGACCCTCATTTCCAGTACCATGAATGACCTGCATTTAAAGATTATTATTGCTTTAAAAATGTTTTTACTTACCTGAGGCATAATATGACACTCTGATGGAGTCCCTCCGCCTACGGTAATAGTATATCAAATGGAAGTGGCTCTAAAATTACTTTTCCTAACTATGATTATGCACGCATTTAATTACCTAGATAAAAAGTAAGAAATATGGAATGAAAATAAAAAATAGGAATAAAGATTTTAAAAGTAGCTCCTCCGATACACTAACTTCTATCCCACCCACTCAATAGGAAACATAAGTTTTATGGTTTTATATAACATATATGCCTGATTAGAAGCCCAGGCATTTATTCAGTACTAACACGGAGAAAAATTGCGTTAAATATAAAAATCTAACAAAGAAGGGATTGAAACCATGTCCTCCCTATGTCTCCTGATTGTGCTGCTAGAGTTAAGCTATTTGGAGCAATCTAAAGTCTAAATTGGGTAAAATATGTGCATCTATAGTGAGAATATTTAAACGACGGGCATTTATTTAAGCTGGGCTTCTAATCAGGCAAATATGATACAAGCAAAACTGGAAAGAAATTTTGATGAGATGTACAGTGCATGGTTATCATTAATAGCTGTAGGCGAGGCATAAATGGGGCTAAAAACTGGTGGGGCCTCTATACAAAACAGGGCTAAAACAATGAAGTTATCATAGTAATTGTATAGCACTAGTAACTACTAAATCTTATCTTATCAAAATATACATAATCTGTATTTTTATTAAGTATAAAGTAGTACTGAATAAGGTATTGTGCACTACAAAAGATATGTGCCCTAATTTGGCTCTCTATAGTATACTACGCATACAGAGATTAACAATATAATAGACATTATCTTCAATGGGTACAACCACACAACAATGCCATGAATAGCCCATTAAGCCAATATGATCAGAGATATTGAGTTGAGGGTCAAAAAGACACATGTTTTTAATAATTACAATTTTGGTCAATATTACATGCAAGCTTACAGTAACAGGAGTGAACGAATCCAGTAACATTAGGGTGTAAAATAAGGTGCTGATACTAGTTTTGGTGTGCAAGTGTGCTCTCTACAAAAACAATCCTAAAACAGAACCATCTAGAATCTGATTTTTTAGTCAGAAAAGACTTTATGACTGATAGCTACATTTTATTGGGGCAAGCCTGAGCAAGTGCCACTCAGACAACAACACTCTTTTCTTTGCAATTTAGGCATGTACGCCAATCGTACTTACATGTACCCATGGTCTTTTTTACTGAAAATTAGCTCCAAAATCACACCCATTTTCATTTTCTGATACACATTGATGTCCTTATGTAGAAAGTTTAAGATTATTCTGGGAAAATATTTTTTGAGTTATGAGCATTTTTAAAAGCAATTTTTGACAAAATAATGCCATGGTTTTTCAAAAATGGCTTCAAAATCACCCCCCAATTTTTATTAAATTTTCTAATACACATTGATGTTTTTATGCTATGTAGAAGTTTGAGTTAATTCTGACAAATATTTTTCAAGTTACGAGCATTTTTAAAAATGGGCAAATTTTGAAAAATACCCAAGGCTATAGCCCATGGTGTTTTCTGAAAATTGGCTCCAAAATCTTCCCCAATTTTTATTACATTTTCAGATTCAAATTGATGTCCTTATGCTACGTAAAAAGTTTGAGTTAATTCCGACAAATATTTTTTTTAGTTACGAGCATTTTCTAAAAACAGCCAATTTTTGAAAAATACCCAAGGCTATAGCCCATGGTTTTTTCCAAAAAATGGCTCCGAAATCACCCCCAATTTTTATTACATTTTTCGATACATATTGATGTACTTATACTACGTAGAAAGTTTGAGCTGATTCCAACAAATATTTTTCGAGTTATGAGCATTTTTTAAAAACAGCCAATTTTTGAAAAATACCCAAGGCTATAGCCCATGATTTTTTTGTGAAAATTGACTCCGAAATCACCCCCAATTTTTATTACATTTTCTGATACATATTGATGTACTTATGCTATGTAGAAAGTTTGAGTTGATTCCGACAAATATTTTTTGAATTATGAGCATTTTTTAATAACGGCCCAATTTTTGAAAAATACCCAAGGCTTATAGCCCATGGTTTTTTCTGAAAAATGGCTCCAAAATCACCCCCAATTTTTATTACATTTTCCAATACATATTGATGTACTTATGCTATGTAGAAAGTTTGAACTGATTCCAACAAATATTTTTTGAGATATGAGCATTTTTTTAAATGACCAATTTTTGAAAAATACCCAAGGCTATAGCCCATAATAATAATAATAAAATGAATTTGAAATAGGATCAGAAATCAGTAGTAATGAGTTTATAAGTGAAATTAGTAATAATAATAATAATAATAATAATCTTTATTAATATGTTAGTGACATTGAAGTCGAGCATCAGAGATTGCTACATCAATGTCACAGTCACTGGGCCTATATATTGATCTCCTTGTACCCCTTACACACCAAATTGTTGATCTTAAAATTGAAAATGATAATTTGCATCTGATGAAATTGATTACTGAACTGTACGGTTTGTTAAGTTTGTCAGCTGTCAGTAATGCAATTCGTCTAAAAACTACATCACATACAGGAGCCAGCCCGCCATTGGTGGAAAAAACAAGAGGTGAGAAACAACCATGCTCTACTTCCCTGATAGCCCATGGTTTTTTCTGAAAAATGGCTCCAAAATCACCCCCAAATTTTATTACATTTTCTGATACATATTGATGTACTTATGCTATGTAGAAAGCTTAAGTTAATTCCGACAAATATTTTTCGAGTTATGAGCATTTAAAAAAACAAGTCAATTTTTGAAAAATAACTAAGTATAGCCCATGTTTTTTTCTGAAAATTAGCCCTAAAATGATCCCTAATTTTTATTACATTTTCTGATAAAATTTGATGTCTTTATGATACGTAAAAAGTTTGAGTTGATTCCGACAAAATTTTTTGAGTTATTAACATTTTAAAAATGAGACAATTATTGTGAAAAAAGCAATGGCCTATGGACATACCAATGATACCATGGTCTTTGGTCATGTACATGTATATATATTTCATCAAAACTAAAATTTAAAAAATATGCATTCTTATTGCATTTTCTGTTGGATGTATAATGTTTTCTGATGCATAATGCACAAGTTTTTTTACAACTGATAAGAAAGTTTGATAAACACACACACTCAAGCACACACTTAATAATGCATTAATTAATTAAAAGTGAAGGGGCGGGGCACGAGACTATGCATTAATAAAGTGACATCTAATTAGATTATTAAAAATTAAACTACAATGAAAGGTATTACCTTTAGTTTGATAATCTATGGTTGACCATCAGATCAGTGGCCAGGTCCCCAGAGCTAGCTACCATGACTTGAGTGCCTTTCCAGCCTCCAGGTCCCTCGCTTCATGCTCGCTTTGATCGTCAGTACTCGATGGCCATAATTGGTAGGTGTGGCAGTAAAGGTGGGGCTTTGTGTGGATTTATAATTAATGGTAATCACGTGGAAGCATGTGTTCAATTCTGATTTCATTTCTTGTGTTGTAAGTGATTGTGATTAGCATTTAATGTAAATTCATTCATAGAATTCTCCTTACTATCATTAGGATATCACCTCTCAAAGATTTAAGGTCTCACAACAGCTCATCCAGTCATTAGAGAATCAGGTTAGAGCTACAATTTAACGTTATGCTTTCACAAATTGCAATAAATAAAGTTCTTCTTTCTTTTGACATCATTGTGTCTCGTCAATGAATATTGTTAAGTTAAACTCAAACTAAAAGTTTTTGATTCACACATCAATGTTTGTCCTATAATTGTACTTACGATGCTGTGATTTGGTATTTGCTTAAAAACTAGTGATAATTATTGATGGTTGGTTCACTTTGTTATGTTGTATTGTTATAGTTGTGTTTGATATTGATACATGCATTAGTCTGTGCAATGTTACTTTGAATTTTGTATTTAAGTGGTATAGACTAATCCTAGCTCTACATGTATGTGTTAAATGTGCAGACATGTCAAGTAATTAGTTCACAAGTTACCTTTTGTGGTGGAGGAAACATAGATGCATATTTTGGTGAACAGCTCTCCTTGCTGGATACTCATGAGAGAAATATACATTTGGATTTAAATACAAAAACTCAATCATTAATAATCAATGGTCAAGGCTGTAATTCTCTTGACTAAACTCATGGTCTTCCTTGCTGACCGTTGTATAGTGACTTTGAAGACTTATAGCATTAATTAAAATTAAGACTCTGTTCCAATCAAGGCTTGGTAATGATCTTAATGGAGATAGTTTTATTAGATACTAAAGTATAGACCTGTGTACTGCTATTACTGTAAGCTGAATAAGCAGGTTTTATTGCTTCAACATGACATAATTTTGAAAACATTCACTTGATCTCATTAAACAGAAGATAATGCTTAGTACTACAAAATAATTGTTACAATACTACATGTGTGTGTATATACAGTATATGACTTGTACAGTCGATTAGACTTATTTAGTAAGGTCCAAGTATCCAACACTGTTTGATAGCAATGTATCAATATCTGTCACAACTTGAGCAAATGTTGGTCTCTCATTAGGATCCCTCTCCCAACACTTTAGCATTGTCTTCTGATATCTATAAGCATGATGATTATACTAATAATTCAACTCATTAATGTATTCCTTACATATCATCATTGCATGCTGAATTTCCATCAGATATCATAGTCTTAACACATGTTGGTGAAAACCCACCATAAGATGTCTTCCCTCCATTAAACACTTCCCATACTTTTAGTATTGTATAATTATAACTACACTGACCTTGCCTCTAAACTTCTAGGCCACTGTTCACTGAGAAGATGAGCTGCTGGTTCAAGGAGATCGGGTCTAAACTGAAGCTCTAGTACTTCATAGCTGTTGACATCAGCTAGCCATATAGGAATAGCCACACCTATTTAGTCTCTTTAGAGACTCTGGGAGAGGCATTTTATAACTATGGTTTATTATAGTTGCGCCACCGTGAGAATTTATCACAAAAATTGTATAAATAGATCTAATAATCATATATCTAGATAGTTATGGATTTTAAAGTCAAACTACCTCTGTATTTTGTTTCCACTCTTTGTATACAAAAAACTGTAAATATAGTGATTAAACTCTATTGTAATATCAGTTTGATGTAAACTAACATTTCTAGCGGCTTCAAATTTTTCAGTGCTTGTCTTAGCTTCCTAAAAGGTAAAGAGTGACACAAATTAAAATCATAATTCAATATATAGACCTAAGTCTACTTTTATCAAGACTTTTACCTGATATTCATTTCTATACTTTTTAAGCAGTTCATACTCAGTGGTACCTCTAGATCTAGACCCAATTTCTCCAAGATGTAGAATTAATTTATTATCTTTTTTTTCTCAATACATCCCTCCCAAAAATCATCAAACCAATTTTTACGATTGGGCAAGGTAATATACTTGGGATTCTTGTGCGTCTCCCTGTTATTAGCTGTTCCATCCCTCCTCATCATCTTCATCTGGTTCTTCCTCGTCAGCATCTCTGTCATCTTTTCTTGCAACATTTTCAAGGTTAGCAAAAGTGAGGACAAACACAGAATAGTTCCAAAAACTTTCT